AAAGACCCCAAAAGTGAGAACAAATGTCACGTGAATAATGTTGAAAAGCCATCGCTTTCCTGCTATCCATACGAGTTGTTCTGTATATACAACACAACACTCATCTTAGATGAAGTAAATGTCATTCAAAACACACAGCATTTGTCGTCAAAATTATGGGAAATAGGAATTTCGTCAGAAGTTTAATAAATTAATTGTTTTAAAATACTGTATAAATAAGTTATTAAAAGTATTAAACATGTATTTTAAAGTAGAGCTGCAAATATGTATAGTATATTAGACTAGTTTGACATTAAATTCATAATTAGCTGTAAATTGTTTTTTGATTAATTAAATGCATATATAAAATGCTTACACAATCGAAATCGTTATTAAAGTAAAAACCTTAAAACCAAAAGTAAAATATAAAATATCTGAAAATATATGAAATTTGTTTTTTTCTATCAAATTATTAATTAAACAAACGATTAGTTTACGAAAAATATTCGACGGAAGAAATGTTAATTTAATCAATTAATTCCACATAATTAGCTGGAAATAAGCCGTAAGTGCCGTCGGGAGCCAACCCCTGCCACCATCCCGAGTCAATCTGCTCGATATGAGTGATGAGGTCATCAGGGTCGAAGCTTATCTCAGTCTCATCAGCTAAACAACAGTTCAATAATAATCACAATTATAATTGATGTTCAAAACGACAATCACTACAATGCATGTGTACACTGACCGGCCTGATAGTCGAATAGAGCGCGTGCTTTCTTGAGCCCCACTTCTGCAAGCGTTCCCTCTTTTCGATCCGATAACACATTTTCAGTGGAATCGTATTCGTCTTCAACGATACCATTGTTTGGCTCTAAAAACAATTAATTCAAACAAACATTCAATTAATTGAGTGATGAAATAAATGTCAAAACGCGGTCATCGCATACCGTCCCACGTCTGCTCTTCAGCGATGTCTTCGAGCGGATGATTCTCGATATATGTTTCCTGTAATAAGTCTCTGGTATAGACACCATTTGAAGCCGTGTTGTTATGGTTTCCATTAATAACCATTTCTTCAACTTCTTCTTCTTCCACCTCTTCCTCTACCACTTCATCGATAGGACTATTAATTGTGTCAACAATTGGTTCATTAGTGGGCAGAGGAGATGTGTAAAGAGGAGCTGCTTCTTGTATGGGTTGTATAGGTTGGTGAAGGGGTTCGGGTTTAACATCATTTTGAATGATAGGTTTGTTGACGTGATTGCCATTCACTTCCTCTTTAAATGAAAGTTTTTGAATGAAATCATTCTTAAGCGTCGACTCTTTGGAGGAAACGTTTGGCAAATTATTTGACGAATTATTTGATATATTGTTTGAAGAATTGTTTGATTCAAATAATTCTTTTCGATTTGAGACCAAAGACTTGTTATTCGACTGATAAGAGTTGCGAATGGAATTCATTTGTCCGGCGCTTGAGTTTTGCTCGAATAAGGCGCGAGCCTTTTGGATAGAGCTCTGAGGGATCACTGCTTTCACTTCTTCAGCCCTCTCTCGCCTTATGTTTTCGCTTCGTTTACGCCTCTCGTTGTCGTCGATCTCATCTTTATTGAGACTTTCGGTAAGTTTTGTAACATTTTTGGCAGAATTTGTTGCGTTTTTCTCCGATTCTCTGATCACTGAAATATTTGCATCCCTTTCGCGAACCGTTTGTTCCCTTTGTTTCGCGTCTCTCACTTCCCTTTCCTCTCTTTCCTTCTCAGACTTAACCCTATTTTCATTTAATTTCTTCTTATCTTCGATGAGTCGGAGTCTCTCTTCTTCCTGAGTCTTCGCCCAAAAGTTTTCTCTATCTGTTTGACTGATCTCTCTCTGGGGCTGAACTCTTCGATAATTAGTTCCGACGGGACTAATGTTTTCGCTGATCTCCGACCTGTCCTTTAAGTTCATTTTTGCTGAAACTTTTGTAATTTTGCTTAAAATCACTTCGGGTTCGACTTCCTCTTCAATTCTGGCGTTGATTGTTATGTGAGAGCCTTTAAAGAAGTCGCAGACATCGCGGAAATGGTTTATACAAATGCCTTTCCTCTGGAGAGGCGCTCCTTCTCCTTGCTTTACATACAATGAAAACACATTCATATTAATTACCGGCGAAATGACAACAACTGGAAAGTAATTAATACCCAATTTATGAGCACATATTTCAATAGATCAGTGTTTGGATCCTTTACGCTGCAGAAGGCGTATAAGATTTGGCTCGCATTGAATGCATTAAACAATTCTTCTAAACCACCGCTTCCTTTGTCTGAAAATATTATTCATTTGATTATTAGATAAGAAAATATAATGAAATCATAGATAATACAAACCAACGAGTGTTAAGTCATTTGTTTGCTTTTCGTAACCAAAGAGCGCCCTATATATAGATAAAAGTATTTCAATTATAAGCAATTAAATCATTAAAATTTCAATATTCAGAGTCAATACCAATCGATGTCTGACTTTTCATTGACCACATCCTTATACGCCGACACCATTTGGTCCCTATTCTTGTAGAAGTTGACACTCATGTCAGTCGATCTGATCCGTACCACTCTTTAGACAATACGTTTCTAAACAATTATATGTAAAACAATTGTTATTATTATTAGTCATTATTAACAGTAAATTAATAAAAAAAATTACAACAAAAAAACAAAATCATTGCAAACATGGGTTGAAATGTTAGGAAATATGTTTAATATAAGGCTATAATGAGTGATATATTCACTGAATTTAGTTTAAAGACAATCAATGTTTGGTTAATGAATAAAATGAGTGTTAATTACAATTAGTTGAATGAAGAGAGACGTGAAGAGACGTGAAGAGCAAATGGATGTTTGAATGAATCAAATGTTTGATAACATGATTGAGAAGTACTTCTCATGTATTGATTGTATGAATGATTGAGCGGTGAGTGTCTGAGTGTCTGAGTGTGAGTGAGTGGACGCATGTGTGGGTACAGTAGGCATGCATTGGCGCACTGTATGTCTGTATCGACGTATGACTCGTAGTAATACATCACTCAATGTTTGTATAGTTTGTACGGATTGTACGGATTGTATAGTGACTATAGTCTGTGTGTATTGTATGGGACCTACCATTTGCACAGTTGTGTCACAACAGTATCACATCTGATGGCCAGCGATGGACAACGAACAGCCACATCAAGAACTCGTCAAATGTGTGGTCGTAGGCGACACAGCTGTCGGTAAGTGTTGATCACATTGTGATGACATGTCATGACATGTACTCATTGTAACCATTGTCCTCATGAGGCAAAACACGACTCATCTGCGCCCGAGCCTGCAATTCACGACTCGATCTGAACCAATTGATGAACACTCACATCCCCACAGTCTGGGCCATCGATCAGTACCGCATCCACAAAGAGGTACCCCATGTCTAACACTTGCTATCACTTATCCCTTTAAATGTCATCCCATTTACAACTATCACAACTCCCATCTTCCCCCTCATCTCTCTCTCTCTCTCTCTCTCTCTCTCTCTAAGTGAGTGGACGCATGTGTGGGTACAGTAGGCATGCATTGGCGCACTGTATGTCTGTATCGACGTATGACTCGTAGTAATACATCACTCAATGTTTGTATAGTTTGTACGGATTGTACGGATTGTATGTGACTATAGTCTGTGTGTATTGTATGGGACCTACCATTTGCACAGTTGTGTCACAACAGTATCACATCTGATGGCCAGCGATGGACAACGAACAGCCCCACCAAGAACTCGTCAAATGTGTGGTCGTAGGCGACACAGCTGTCGGTAAGTGTTGATCACATTGTCGATGACATGTCATGACATGTACTCATTGTAACCATTGTCCTCATGAGGCAAAACACGACTCATCTGCGCCCGAGCCTGCAATTCACGACTCGATCTGAACCAACTGATGAACACTCACATCCCCACAGTCTGGGCCATCGATCAGTACCGCATCCACAAAGAGGTACCCCATGTCTAACACTTGTTATCACTTATCCATTTAAATGTCATCCCATTTACAACTATCACAACTCCCATCTTCCCCCTCATCTCTCTCTCTTTCCTCTCTTTCCTTCTCAGACTTAACCCTATTTTCATTTAATTTCTTCTTATCTTCGATGAGTCGGAGTCTCTCTTCTTCCTGAGTCT